TGATTACGCTCGTGGGGTTCGCAGGTGGATCTGGTGGAGGGAATGGAGACGGGCGAGTCCCTTTCTTCTTCCTCACCCACCAGATTCAGCGCGCTGTGCCAACCGCTCTGTGGTTACTTCCCCCCGGGGAACGTGATCGACGCTCCGCCTGTCTTCCTCCGAGGAGTTTGATGTGGTGGGCGTCGATGAGGATTCGCCCCCTCAAACGCCTCAGTATGAGGAGCTTTTAGAGGTGGTAACTCGTGTGGTGGCCAAGTTGAACATCGATTGGCCCGCCGAGAAAATGTCTGAGCCGCAGAAAAGTAAATTAGATGAGCGTTTTCTGCTTGTGAAGCAGCCACCTCCGCGCCGGAGCCTGCCTTTTTTCCCCGACCTCCAGTTGCCCTCCAAGCCTCTAAAAACTACATCAGCGCTGGTGAGCAAAGGGTAATCGGCAGCGGGTCAGGCTGGTGCATGTCTGCACACCATGGCGGTGGTACAGGTGTACAAAGCCGTCCTGCTTAAAGAGCTAGACGAGCGTGAGCAGATAAATTCGGATGATATCACTGAGCTCAGGAGGACCGCTGATTAATCTCTCCGCACCACTAAAGAGACCGCCCACGCCATCGGTAGGTCTATGGCAGCTATGGTGGCGGCGGAGAGGCATTTATGGCTGACCTTATCAGATATGAAAGAACAAGATAAGGTCTGCCTCATGGACGCCCACGCTTGCGCCTTCTGGCCTGTTCGGCGACGCAGTCAATTCTGTTGTCGATAGGTACCAGGCGGCTCGTAAACAGGCGGCGGCGTTCCAGCGGTTCCTCCCGCGCCGCTCTCTAGCTCTGGGGGCTGCTGGGCGAGAGCAGCCCTCTCCGAGTACCAGCTCGTCATACAGGGAGGCACAAAAACAGAGCGTTGCCTCATGTGCTCCCCAGCATCGGGACCGCTCTGGGTCAGGAGCCTTGAAGTCTAAGCCGGATCTGCAGACCGTACTTAAAACTAAGAGGTCCTCGGCCAAGAAGTCCTGACGCCACTGGCCCAGGGCTCATGAGGGCAGGCCCCTCTGGGGTGGAGCGGGTTTCACCGCATTACACGGTGTCCGTCTCGCTTCAGTGCCCTCAGGAGATCGGTCTGCTAACGCTGCTGGAGTTATAGGTCGCAGCAGTCTCCCACTCTCAGTCACCGCCCGGGAACGTAGCGGTGCTAAGAGGCTCGCCACCTCTCCGGAGGTCTCTAGAGCAGCTAATTCGGTTGTCTCCTGCCGGTCCGCCATTACAGGGAACCAAGCTAGCTGCTCTCAATACACCAGAGGTCAGTCTCGAGAGACTGATTCCCTTAGTAGATTCTTTGGCAGCGTGGAACCTACTGCCAAATGTGTCTCAGTGGGTCCTGCATACTGTAGAGAGAGGCTACAAAATCCAGTTTGGTTCTCCTCCGCCTCGTTTCAACGGGATTATGCCCACGCTGGTGGGCCCCGAGCAGGCTCTGGTCATGGAACAAGAAGTAGTTACTCTCTTGAGGAAGGAGGCCATCGAGGTGGTCCCTCCTCGCGTAGCAGAGTCCGGGTTCTACAACCGGTACTTCATAGTTCCAAAGAAGGATGGGGGGTTGCGTCCCAGTTTAGATCTGCATCAGTTGAACCGCTCAGTCATGCGACTGAAGTTCAAGATGCTCACTCTCAAACAGGTCGTGTCTCAGATCAGGTCCGAGGACTGGTTTGTCACAATCGATCTGAAAGACGCATACATCCATGTTTCCATCCTTCCCATTCACACGAAGTTCCTGAGGTTTGCGTAACGTTAGCGACGGACACATCCCTCACCGGTTGGGGTGCGGTCATGGCCACCCTGTCCGCGGTCTGTGGAGTGGTCACCATCTGACATGGCATATAAATTGTCTGGAGATGCTGGCCGTGCTGCATGCACTAAGACACTTCCTCCCAGACCTGAGAGGTCACCATGTGTTGGTGCGAACCGACAACACAGCGATGGTCTCTTATATCAACCACCAGGGAGGTCTGCGCTCACGCCGTTTGTACAAACTAGCGTATCAGATCCTTGTGTGGTCCCAGGGCAAACTTCTCTCGCTGAGAGCAGTTCACATTCCTGGGCATCTCAATATGGGAGCAGAGACATCCTGTCGAGGCAGGGGCCGAGGCCCTGGGAATGGATGTTTCACCCCGAGGTGGTGAAGCAGATATGGAAAGTTTTTGGCCAGGTGGACCTGTTTGCGACTCAGATGACATCGCACTGTCCCCTCTGGTTCTCTCTGACTCATCCAGCTCCACTGGGGCTGAATGCCATGGTACAGACATGGCCGAGGCTTCGTCTGTACGCCTTTCGCCCGATAGCTCTGCTCCCGGGAGTTCTAGAGAGTGCGCCGGGACGGGGTCCGTCTTCTGCTTGTATTTTCGTTCTGGCCGGGCTGAGTATGGTTCTCGGGCCTGATTTCTCTCCTCGAATGCCTTGAAGTGGAAACTTTTCACTTCGTGGTGCGGAGATCTCCAGCTCAACCCAGTTAACTGCCCGGTTGCAGGCCCGATTCTCCGCAGGGTTGACCCACTCCACCCTCAAGGTCTACGTGGCGGCCATTGCGGCCTACCATGCCCCTCTCGGTGGCCAGTCAGTGGGCAGACACCCCCTAGTTACACGTTTCCTCCGCGGTGCGCTGAGGCTGAGGCCTCCGGTACGATCTTGTGTCCCCACGTGGGACCTGGCTGTGGTGCTAGAAGCTCTCTGTAGGCCTCCCTTCGAGCCTATCGAGGAGATCTCTGAGCTGAGAACGTCCACAGAGCTGCTCTGTGGCGAAGGGCGGACCAACTGCTTGTTTGCTATGGTCCCCCTAAGAGAGGGCTTCCAGCTACAAAACAGACCCTCAGTCGGAGGATAGTAGATGCCATATCCATTGCTTATGAGTCCTCTGAGCTCCCTTCACCTCTAGGGGTCAAGGCTCACTCTACCCAAAGTGTGGTGGCCTCCAAGGCCTTCTTGGCAGGTGTCTCAATGCAGGACATCTGCGATGCTGCAGGATGGTCCACGCCCCTAACCTTTGTCTGGTTCTATGGCCTAGATATGCGAGCCACTCCTGGCTCTTCTGTTCTCCCGCCTTAGCTGTGCAGGCTTCCACACTAGGCAGAAATTTGTAATTCTGGCGGCGTGGGCATACTCGTTTCATAAGCGTCCTCCGACGCAGCTCGAGTTCCTGAAGAGGAACGTCTCAGGTTACGTATGTAACCATGGTTCCTCGAGGGAATGAGACGCTGTGTCTCGGGGCCATACTTCCGGCATCTCTGCCAGCGCTTGCTTCACTCCTAGAAGCTGATGCCGGTTTCACCGCACATGCTTTTATAGTTTCCTGGTCATTACGTCACCTACCCGTGACGTCTCGCCCATCTATTGGACTGATTACACATGGGATTCAGACGCAGACGCAGCGTCTCATTCCCTCGCGGAACCATGGTTACATACATAACCTGAAACGCTATATCCTCTCCTACTTGTAAGTCGCTTTGGATAAAACGTCTCAGGTTACGTATGTAACCATGGTTCCTCGAGGGAATGAGACGCTGTGTCTCGGGGCCATACTTCCGGCATCTCTGCCAGCGCTTGCTTCACTCCTAGAAGCTGATGCCGGTTTCACCGCACATGCTTTTATAGTTTCCTGGTCATTACGTCACCTACCCGTGACGTCTCGCCCATCTATTGGACTGATTACACATGGGATTCAGAGCCGGTCACACTGAAGGGTGTTCCGTAAGCGTCCTCCGACGCAGCGTCTCATTCCCTCGCGGAACCATGGTTACATACATAACCTGAAACGCTATATCCTCTCCTACTTGTAAGTCGCTTTGGATAAAAGCGTCTGCTAAACAAGTAATGTAAATATGGACAGCATAACTGATTATTGGGTTCTTTTGTCGCGTCGCGCCACTCGCGTCCGGAGTAGAATTATCCTTTCCCAATAAAGCAAAGTTGTTTTGCGCCGAATACTTAATAATAATATAATATAATATTTTATTTTAGTAGGCTACTTTAATTCATTACAGCTATGTTCTTAACTTTAACTGGTCTGTCACTGACAGAGAGAGAGGGGAGGACAGTTGCTCGACCTCTCCAGAATCTATACAGGTGAGAACTTGAAAGAATATAATTATTTTAAGGCAGTGTTTTTTTTAAACTGGGACTACGTGTCAATGTTTTAAGGAATTAAACATTAATATACATTTTCATTTTATGTTCAAATTGTTCAATACAATTTGTTGTATAGGTAAAGGCAGTGTGTTCCTATAGTTTTTAAAGACTATTAAAAACTATTAAGAATCAGGATAAAAGTTATCGTTTAAGTGTAGTGTAACTGAAATATTGTGCATAAAATATCTTAATTTAATGAAAATAAAGTATACAGTAGATGTCCACAGTGGATTCAAAGTCCCAAGTTCTGCAGTTATTTTTGAATTAGAGTTAGTGTTTTTGAGTCTGATATCACAAAAAATAAGTCCCTGTAAGCTGTCTTGCTTCCTGTAAGCTATCATTGCATGTTCCCAAAATTGCCATTAGGGTGCTCTAAAACATGCTAATTAGTATTCTATATAGAATTTATTATGTGAACATGAATGTACTTTGTACATTATGTACATAATTTGTTTGGCCATTGAGGGTCACATCACCTGACAGCTGCCCCCCAGCCCCCTCTTTTAAAATGGCTGCTACGCCCCTGCATGTGGGTGAGTTTTTTATTTATTTATTTATTTTTGGGTGATTCATACCTTCAATTGTCCATTTAATCCACTTAATTTAATTTGTTATCCAATCCACATGTTGAATGTGCAAAACTACAATTGAAATATGAATTACATACAATAATATGCAACATTTAACAGACTAAATCTGCATTTTTCGGTGTGCATAAGATTTCAAGCCACAAATTTTCATGTCACGCTCTACTCTTAGAGCTACAGGAACCTTTAAATGCATTTGTGTGTGCAGACCAAGTGCATTGACACCCATTTGATAAAAGGTCGACTGGAACACAAACTCTCATGAGGAAAGTCCCATTGAACAGATACTGTGTGTTTATATGTGAGCACGTACACAGGGGCTCCTCTGTTTGCTTGCGTAGGCTGCATTTACATGATGTCTCACATGTTAAAAATGCTGCGTAATAGAAGCCAGTGGAGACTATTTCTTTTTCTCCCTCTCTATATCTGTCTCTCTCTGCTTGTTGATATTTATAGAGCCCACAGCGATGAGAAAACAGGTCCCAATGCAGGCGACGCATTGAAGACATGAGGGGGCGGAAGGGGAGAGAGATAGAGAAAGAGCAAGTTAGAGAGAGTGTGCATGAGTAGTAGTAGCTTTCTACATCTTCCAAAGATAATTAACTGTACTTTCATGGCAAGAAAAAATCCAACAAGACTCCAAAGGCCGTTCTCATTACTTTGAATGGCAGGCCCTGTGAAGACTCTATCAGCACTGCAGAAAGACCCGGCTATTACAGTAATATGTGACATGATGAGGTTGAACACTTCTTCAGAGTGGGTTCATTATGTGAACCGAATGCACTGCAGGTGAAATTACCTGGTTATGGTGCTCAATGCCCATGCTGATCGTATTGATGAGGATGGCGATCATAATCCCTCTGTTGAAGTACTTGCTTTCAACTATACCCCAAAGCCTCGCGCTCATTTTATCCCAAATATCTTTACATTTCCCTAAACAGGTGCGTTTCCTCTTCGGCATGTCCTCAGAGTCATTGTCCCCCTTCTCATCCAATCGGTTCTCATCTCTGTCGTTCTCCTCCAGCGCAACCTCCTCTTCCTCCCCATTGGCCGAGTGCCCCATCAGTCTCAGCCCCTCCTTGAGTGACGGGGCTGCAGCACACTGTAGACACTCCTCTGTTTTTGGGGTGACGGAGAGGGAGATGGCGTTCTCCAGAGATTGGGAGCTCTGGTCCAACTTGGTATCATGAATACAATGAGGGACTGCAAGAAAGACGAAAATTCAACATTTCTGTTTGACATTTTCATATAATACAATATAATTTTTGCCTGTCAGTTTCTTGGACAACTGCCACACTGCTGCTTGGAATTGAAATATCATTGGGCCATAAAAGCAAATTTGTTCTTGTTTTTATTGCAACTTACTCTTTGCTTTTATAACTTTCTATTTGGTTTGGAGTGTCAGGGAAGCTACTTTGAAACTTGGTCAGGCTACAAGCAATTTTTTATTACACATAAGTAGCTAAATACACTGAAGCAACTTAAAAGGGCAATATTGTTTAAAATAAATAACTTTTTGATGATATAATTCATAATTTTAGGGCCATATTCTTTTGGGGTTTGAATGAATGAACAGTGACATCTCCAAACTTTTACAAATAAATGTATACTAAATCAAAGAAAGAAAAAAAAGAATACATCCTAATATACATCCTAATTCACTGCATGTAACCAAATAAAAAAACACCATAATTAACAATTAATTTTAAATGTAAATTAATTCAGGATTTACATAATAACTGAGCAGTGATTTCTTTTTTATATTTTCATTTACATGAATTGTTCAAAAAAAAAAACCTTCACTTTCCAATATACATACAGTATGAGTAAGAGAGGGCAGTTTAGGATGAATCAATTCACCTGAATAAATCAAAATGCTTGATACCAAATACACGTGATATATGAGAGTTCTGGACGAACTGTATCAGAATGAATCAGATTTTCAAACATTCTCTCACTCATGTTGTGTTGGAAAGCATGATTCCAGCAAATCAGACTTTCTTGCACAACATAAGTGAAACAGAACAGTGTAGGACAAGCAAATGGCTGCAATATAACAAAGAGTGAAAAATTTAAGGGGGTCTGAATACTTTCCGTACCCACTGTATATGACAAGAAAATGCACTTTAGTACAGACCGCTTGCTACTATTTTGAACACAGCTGAGCTAATGTCAGGCTAAAATAAAAAAAATGTTTTGGTTAATTTTAGATTTTTTCTCCTCAACACTGTTAGACACAACTTCTCTATGACCCAATATCATTCCTCTGGCTCTAACTCTCTCCTTACTCTGAGTAGAATGGCAGTGGTGTCTTTCGCTGCCATTCACATTAGCCCCTCCCCCTGTCGATCCTGCCCCTCCTTTGCCACGCCACCTCCCTCCCCCAGGGGGAGGGGCTTTGCCACGGAGCATGTAGTAAAGGGCGGCTGAGCGGCGGCGGGCCTTGCGCAGGATGTGGCAGACCAGCTGGAAGAGCTCCTCGTAACAGTCTCCGGGCTCAGCGAGCGAAGCCAGCGTGCTGGAGGACAGGTAGCGAGCACGTTGCTCTTGCATCAGCTGGTGCTCTCGCTGTTTGGTCTCCGAAAACTGAGTGGCAATGACCACCAGGCACAGATTAATCATGAAGAAAGATCCAATCTGGAACAGCAAGAAGAATAGGGAGAGTCAAAAGTCTGAAGTGTGAAGTCTCAGCTGCTTTAAATATCCATGTCTACATGACACCAAAAACCCCTCTAAGCTCTCTAATGCAGCCTGTGCTGCAGTGTTTAGCAGAAGCAGCGGCCATAGCTGTCTAAATGAGCTGCTATAAACAGACCCTATGTTTGAAAAAGTCAGCAGACGCCCAAACAAGAGTCAGTTTTGTTGTGTGTGCGCCCGTATCGCTCTGGCTTTGATATGCTATAATTATCAGGCTATTTCATAGGAGCAAAACATCAAAATATCTCCTAGTCCTCGCAAAAAAGAAGGGTTAGATCCCTCTGCCAACGTGAAACGGATTAGAATTGTGAGCCAATCATTTTAAAGACTGAAAGAGAACCAGTTCCAGATTCAACAGAACAGAAAGCCTGCTCTTATATCATTCGCCATTCATATCACTGGCATTTGTCAATACGCAAACACACACAGAGCTCACTCTTAGGTCTTAATGAAAGTACAGCCTGTTTCCTGCATATGTGAAGTAGGGATCAGAGAGGACGGATGAGTCGTGAGGAGGACAGAAGAGGTGGAGAAATGCACAGGTGTGTGTGGGGCAGCTGTGCATGTGTGTCCTGCCTCCACATCTGCTGTCCTGATTTGGGAGTCTGATGTGTGACTGGACTGCTCCTAATCAACAGTCGGACCTCACCTTTCCTCTCATCAATTCCTCTGCGCGCACACACACACACACACACAATTCAGAGCATTTTTGAATATTATGAAAGAGGACCTCAAAATGACAAATGATAAGCACCATAAAAGTGGTAGTGATAGCTTTGTGTGAAGAATAGATTATAATTTACGTCATTACATTTACGTCTCTTTCTGACAGATCATGATGTAAGTAACAATGTCTAATTTATGGGGGGAAAAAATCATTGATATTCACTTTCAGGAATAGCTGGTCTAAATGATTCATTCACGTATCAATTTAATCTTGTTATTAATGTGGTTAATCAATCTCAATTAATCAATGATTGATATTTAACAGCCCACAAAATGAGAAGATTAGCCATGAAGAACTTATTTGAATTCATGTACTACTTTAAATCCAAAATGGTTCCTTTACTACAGTTAAGACATGTCAGCACCATTATTACATATTATTTTAAAGAAAAAAATTAAGAAAGAAAGAAAGAAAAAGAAAGAAAGATCAGACATACAGGCAGGAGAAGAAAGGGATAGGTCAAAGGGGTGTTGGTTAGTGAGTATACTTCAGTTCTGTTACAGCTGGATGAAATATGACAGGTGATTTATACTCTCATTTAATACTGCTCTTACAATGGAAGGGTCTGGCTGCAGGCAGGGTGACCTTAAGACTGCCTGTTCAAAAAAAGAACAGTAGGCAGAACCAGTCATTTCATTATTTTGCCATCAATGTGCAAAGGCAGGGATAACTTTGCCAACAGATTTGCATAATATAGAAAAACTAAAAATAAATAACACTGAATATAAAATAAAAAATAAATTTATTCCCATGCCATCAGCTTATAAATCATATTCATCGGTGAAACCCATAAGCAGCAAGCCAAAAAATATAACAATATTTGTTAATATTTTGTTGCTTGTAATCAGAGACAATGTCTTTAATCTAATTATTTGTGATCACTCTGCCCAATCGTACTGATCCATCAGAGAACAACTGAAGAGGAAAAACTGGGCACAGAGAAGGCGAGCCTGAATTAATTGCTCCGATGTTCAATAGAAGTGAAAGGAAATGAATAGAGGTGCATCGGCGGGGTGTGGGCTGTGTCGGGACACTATGGCCCTCTCTCTACGGGTAGCGATGGCTGGCTGTGTGGTTGCCAAGTTACAGACAGAGCAGGGCGTCAAAGTAAATAAAAGTGCAGAGGGACACACTCGCATAAACCGGCACACACACATACAGTGAAAAGACACATCTTACTCCCCTCAAACATTGGAGATCACATAGGGATTTGGCTGTTGTTTCCAGCTGTGAAGGGGACGCCAAAGAGTATAAAGCAACAGAAACCACAGATGACTAGCAGGTACATAACACTAAATCACATTTGATTGACTTTGGAACAATACATCTGTTTATTTTTAAAAGAGGGTACCCAGAAGCACAGAGTGCATTTTCCTTTCAAACGATTTAAGTAAAATACAAACTTAAAAATCAAGAGCATATTTTCAAAATTAATTTAAATTAAAAAAAAAAATTACATTGAGGAAAAACTGTTTCTAAATTAAACCCTTTGGCACACTTTGCTTTTTCCGCCTGCTGTGACATATTCCACATAGTTGTTCTGTCTGTTTTTTTTTCTGTTGCAACCACCAGTGCAGATATTTAATGCACACATGGTGATGACAAGCACAGACAAAAACTAGGGCTGCATGAAGACGTAAACCAGCATATGTTGGCTTAATTCTGTAATAAAGTGCCCTAGGGATGACATTTTTTTTGTAGGCCAGCCTAAAAGTAAGCATCAGCCTGGTTTCCTTGACAAAAAGTTAATAGCTTTGTTTTGTTCATCAATATGATCTTCACAAACGAACACACTTTAATGAAAATTCAATAATTTATGAATTTAAGACTAAATGCAAATCGCCAAAATGTAAAAAGTTAAAGGTAGGCTATAAACAAACTACATCAACACTGATGTTACCGTTGGTGAGGAACACATGCACGAGGACGAAGGAGATATACAAAAAGGTATTTTAATTAGCAAATCGGACTCTGACTAAAGGAAAACTGAGAGTATTTGTAGGGGAGCAAACAAAAGAACTAAGGAGTTAATCAAACACAGGTGAACAGAATGACTAATTAAACTGACTGGGGAAAACTAGGTCACAACAGAAACTCAAAACACACATACATGTAACAGCTGAAGTCAAAACTGTTTAAAAAAAATTTAATTAAAAATTTAAATAAAAAACTAAAGACAACTTAGCAAATCGGACTCTGACTAAAGGAAAACTGAGAGTATTTGTAGGGGAGCAAACAAAAGAACTAAGGAGTTAATCAAACACAGGTGAACAGAATGACTAATTAAACTGACTGGGGAAAACTAGGTCACAACAGAAACTCAAAACACACAGACATGTAACAGCTGAAGTCAAAACTGTTTAAAAAAAAATGTAATTAAAAATTTTAATAAAAAACTAAAGACAACTTTCCCAATCTTCATTTAAAATCTACAAGTTTGAGAGCAATTTGCAAGAGCAGAGGCACTATATAAACACAACAAGGCTGTAAAGCATACTAGTGAGTAGATGAGTTTTCCTGGTCAGCATGACATTGTCCAAAACATCTTATTTGGCCACTTATTAGCAACCACCTTTTTCTGTTAAAAAAATAAAAATAAAAAATCGCAAGTAAGGTATTACTGATGTACTTTATTTTGCAGAATAAAATGTGAAACTATATTGAGCTTGTGTTAACCACAGACCTTGTAGGCCTAAAAAGAAACATTGACTTCAATGACTTTGAGATGATGGCACTTTATTAATATTATAAAACTGAAAATTGCCTTCTTAAATATGGTTCAGTGGGCTTCAATGGTATTTACATAAATATAGAAGCATAAAATTATATATATACACACACTGTATATATATATATATATATATACACACACTGTATATATATATATATATATACACACACTATCTATATATATATATATATATATATATATATATATATATATATATATATATATATTGCATTACAATATTGCGTTACTCCCTAAAAAAGAAACTAATTATGTTACTTTTTATGGAAATATGGAAAGTAATGCGTTACATTACTTTTGCATTACTTTCGTGTTACTTTTTAAATATGAGCAGGGCTTGATTGTTTTTAATATAAGAAGTTCTATTTATAGCAAATATAAAAGCCCTTTCACGCCAAAAAGTGTAATGAATAAACCTCAGGCTGAAGAAAAAGTAAATGCACGTCTGTACAGTAGAATGCAGGAGAAGAAACACTCTTCGGCAATAAATAAAAAAAACAATGAAGCACAATTGTTAGTTTATCTAAAGTAAATTTTGCTTATTAGTATGGTTGAACTGGATCATCAAAGGTTAGCAGCAAAGACATTGGTTAATAAAATGGGATACATTTGTGTTATTTAACATATTTAATTATTGCAGGTTTGCGTCATATTCTGAGTTTGCATTTCACTGTATTAATTAATTTTGATGAATACTAAATCTGTTTTTTTTGTGAGTGGGATGAATTAATGCACATTCACATTTAGTCTAGAACTACAGTAAAATCATGTTCACACAGCACACACAACTCCTCTGCACTTCCGATTTCTCCCAATATGGGGACAGGAGACTTGTCAGTCAATAAATTGAAAAACAAAGTAACTCAGATATTTTCTTGTAAATTAAAAAAGTAATGCGTTACTTTACTAGTTACTTGAAAAAAAGTAATCTGATTACGTAACTCGGATTTGTCCAACACTGTATGTATGTATGTATGTATGCATATATATATATATATATATATATATTTTTCATTTGATTTTAGTTAAAGTTTTAGTCATTGTGTTAAGCGTTCTCATTTTTAGTATTTTTTTATTAAGTAACAAAAATGTTTATGGTTTTAGATTTAGCAAATTATAACAACCCTACATGATCTTAACGTGATCTTACATCAGTGGCCGCTGTGAGGATCTTGGACAGAATGACTCGAGCGAGTCCGTCTCTGCTGTAGTCCAGAGTGGAGACCGTTAGTTTCAGCAGGTGATCCTGGTTTTTCATCGAGCACAAGCTCAACAGACTGCACAAAACAAATCAGAACCAAACACATATAATTTATAGGCCTATTATATATTTTTATGTTTATATATATATCTCTTGTGCAGTTTGAATACTTTAGGATCTCTACAACATGTAGGATTTTTTTACAACAGTAAACTTAAAGTTGAACTGTAAATACTGAAAAATGAAAAAACTGTGGTAAATCATGAGGACAAGCAGAATCAATTGCACTGCACCTATTGATTCACTTGCTGTTTTTTAGGCAACAATACTGATAATGACTAATCTAAATGATTTCTCAGTCCTGAGAGTCTCTTTATACTTCACTCAGAGTCACAAATTCACCAGTCAGCATTCTGCTGGTGCATGCTGGGCAGAATCACATGACAGCTTCGCAGGGTGCATGTGTCGGGGTGGCAGGGTCTCTGTCAGGAAGTAGGAGACTGCAGAGATGGCAGCAGGGGTCCACCAGTCTAATGGGCTCTAATTAACTGCTAATGCTTTCATTCTGCTGACCTACACAGGATTAGGCCCTGTCATTAGCTACAGACACACACCCACATTTCCCTATACTTGCCATTTGTTGGGCTAAAATGGATCTTGTCGTCTCCAGCTGAGTTGTCTAACACGTGTTTGAACGCAGGAAACGGGAAAGGTAAAGAAAAGCACAAATAGCCACAACAAATCTGAGCAGGCCTCTCCACTCTTCACATTCCCTTCCTCTTTTATTCCTTTAGTCTCCTGCTGTCTTTCAGTCTCAGATCCTTTTCCTCCGTATCCTCAGGGCATTTCTTTTCCACACACTCTCTTCCTTAATCTTGGGAGGAGACGTTATCCGAAGCACATCTCACTGCAGGGCTGTCTCGCTCACTGCCGTTCCTACCATTCAACGAAGAGGGCCGGTGCGGTGCGAGAACTGGGTCCATCATGGCATCGTTAAAACATGCAGCCGAAGCAAAGATAAATTCATCTTATAGTGTCCAGCTATTGATTCTTCATTATGTTGTTCATTGCCTAATTGATCTCTGCGGCTCTGTAGACTACTAAATGTGCTGTTTAGCTAATATCTGTATCTTTGAAACCTTCAGGCCATCAACAGGAGTCCTGCAGATTCAGTTAAGCTCAGTCTGTCAATAAAAGCTGGTTCCAGACGCATCTCTGAGGAATAACAGTAGTGATTTTTTCCAAGATTTTAAACTTCACTTGCAATGCACCATATGGCAGGACTAATCAAACTGATAAATGTCTATTAGATGTTACGTGGCCTTGCATTAAAAATACTGTATTAAGTTTGAGCTTACAGATGGCACTCTAAACACTAAATATGAGACTAAATCTTTTACAAGATGATTGTTTTAGAAAGAGTAAACAATTAGTAGTAGCGATGCACAATAAATCAGATGCACAAGTGGTTATCAGTTGATATTAGTGATTTCTTTAACCTAAAAATGAATATCAGTTTTTCATACTGTTCATTATAATGGTGTGATGCCTAATTTTACTCTAAATTTAAATTTAAAATTATTTTATTTTTTTTATTTTTATTTAGACAAAATAGTAGAGAACTTTCATATCAGCCATTACATGAAAATAATTATGGTCTTATCTGTATCACAGCATCCCTAATTAGTAGGCTTTGTGCTAAAAGTTTCATTGTTGTGATGTGTTAAGCTGTGTTTTTGTGTCCAGGGGAAAGACATTACCTTTTTGTTCTTACCAGTGAGACCTAACATCTAGTTCACCCTCTGGCCCTGTTAAAGGTCACCAAACTTCAGGTCCTCCCAGACTACATATGCCATATAAAACCACAGACTACAAGTTCTCAATAATTAGGACACATGCTTCATCTCTGAACACATGCACAGCAAGTTATAAAAACTTACGATAATGAGGAATATGAAGTAGATGAAGTTGTAGAAGGAATGAGCATCCATGACGTAGTACATGATCTCCACCCAACCCTCCAGCGTGATCACCTGCACAGACCAGATCAGACCATATTCAAGCTCTTTATACACCTGGTAGAGATCCATCTCAGATGTCAGTTGAGACAAATGCTGTTTATGTAACGTGTCTGCTATTTGTGATTGGATTTTGAGGGTAGAGTCTCTGATCAAATGTATATCTGTATAAGATTTAGAGGCATTAAGAGAACAACAACATCACTCATTAAAACCTCACTTTTGTTAGATTCTTCAGCAATTCAGCAATGTAGCTAGTGTACTAATCTAGCTCATACTTAAACTTGGCATTGTGTACTGCAAATAATGTGAAGTTGCTTTGGATAAACACTTTGCTATATAAATAAATGTAAATTCTTAAAACTACTTGCCAATGGGTAAGAAAAATTCGAATGAATTAAAAGTGAAAACAAGCTGATTTTTCTTACCTCATTTGTAAATATAATTTCTTTAAACCTTTGTTTTACCACAGTGGATGATTGAGAGGTGTGTAGGCAGCCCTTCACTGTTGTCCAAGACGCATCAGGACAGATTAGCATTTGCAGCACACTACACATGCAATGTTATCACATGCGTTTTCAACTTCCTCTGAATGTGATTTGAATGACTGGATCACAAAATGCTTTAGATCGCATTTACACCTGTAGCAAGTGCTGTCGATTTATGAGAGGATCACCTGAAACAGAATCAGATGCGTAATTTCAACAAATACCACTTGACTCGATCGCATACCTGAAATATGACGATCCATGCGTAACCTATGTTGTCAAAGTTGATCGCTCCTTTGTGTGGGTTGGTGTGTCCTGTGTGACAGCGGGTGTAGTACTGGTTCCAGTTCACACAGAGCCCCACGGTGGAGGCACTGCCATTGACCAGTGGCTCCGCGCTCAGGCCCAGGGTCTGACGGTGCAGTGCATCCTCTTTATCTAGACAGCACTCCCGTCCACCTTCTCTCCGAGCAGGGACGTCGCTGCAGGACATGATGCCGTTATCCTGAGCCAGAGAGCAGATGAAGGGCCGCTCGTCATCCTCCTCAGGCTGATAATATGGGGTGGGGAGGGTGATGCCAGATGTGCTGAGGACAAGACGTAAGGAGAAGTCAAGGTTTTTGAAAATTCAGTGTTTAAAAAAGAAAAAGAAAATTCTTCTATCATCTCTCTATCCCTCTCTCTCTCTATCCATCCATCCATAATCTCTGCCATCTGTCAAATTTCTACTATTTCTACTTGTATACTTTTTAGGGAAAAATATATACTTTTTTCTAAGTATATATTATATTTTACACATATGCATTCTATATATCTATATTCTCTCTCTCTATATATATATCTCACACACTCCCAGAATTAAGTAGATTTTTCTCATACTACTGGCAGGTTTTTTCTAGTAAAACATATTAACAAAATGTTGAGAGGCTATAAGAAAAAAAACAACTATAAAACATATATAAAAAACAATTAAATGCAATACTCAGATATTTTATTTTCAATGGCAGAACTTGAATAATTTTGCATCTATGTATCTCAACAGGTGGGTTGCCATAATTAAAGTGTTCTTGCAGTATAGCTGAAATATCTCTAGGCATACCTGAAGAGATCTGAGCAGCAACCAGTGTGGATTCTATAACAGACCAACTGAGAGTGTGTAGTGTGTGCGTACATGTGTGTGAAGCCCATGTCTCTGGGAGTGACCCATTGAGAGCAGCCTGCCCCTTAATCACAGTGTTTTACTGCCCAGAAATAGCTGTTTCCATCAGCCACTCACCCTTTCATACACATAACAGGGTCACAATGAATATTTACATTCCCTTTCTCCCAATCTCTCTCTCCTTTTTTCTCTCTTTTCCCATTTCTCTCACACATCCATGTATATGCACCAATGTGCAATGCCATTTGTCCACCTAGCACACACAAGCATAGCACATGCAAGCCACAATGACCAATCAATATCTCTATTGCTTTGCGGTCTAGACAGTTAATCTAAATGCGCGTGCACACACACACACACACACACACACACACACACACAAAGCTCCCATGACAGCCATGTTAGAGGTATTGGGCGCCAAGAAAGGATTGGTTCATCATCCCCAGGGTGTAATTCTCCCCATTTGGATGGAGGACTCCTCCGCAGACTTGCAGATCAATAAAGGCCAAGAATGTTTCTGTCGCGGAGGACATTTTTCCTTTGCCCTTCAACAACACGGCAGCCAAAAGATCTGAACCATTCGATACCAGTAATGAGCAATGGTATATCAGGCTACACCAGAAAAAGCTATTTGTCTAGGTAGACCACCGTGGTGACACTCGTGCGAGGATATGTGTGTGCACATTTCCATCGCACAAAACTAATCAATGCCTGTGATATGGCAAATTGAGCCAATGCGTCAAACCATCGTAGATTCCCATGTGGGCTTTGTGTGGCACACACTGAGATCTCTCCTATAAAAGTCAGTCTGCATTTTCAGCTATACAGTCGAGCTGGACCACGTGGCACCGCTTTTCTTTAAGAGCTCAGTGGTACGATGACAACTTGGGGGAGAGAGGCAGAGAATCAGTAAGTCTGTCAGAGCTCTGCAAGGAGTGCTGGAGTGTAAATGATGTTTGTGCCAGTGCCAAGGCTCGGGCACAGCGTGGCAGCGCACTGAGAAGCACAGCCCAGTGTGGCACACTGCTAACACCCCACTGTGGCACAAAATGGCATTCCAATGCCAATAAGACTGCTCTTGCACAAAAACGAGCCCCGAGGAGAAGTGTGACCTTGAAAGTAGACTTTTTAAAGGAATTTCTTTCATTTCAAGTCCAACCTCAGATGCTGTGAAAATTAAATAGTTAACATCAACAGTCTTAAAGCGTGTTAAAAATTTAAATGACAATTCGCAAGTTATTGACCTTATTGCAAACAATTCATCCATTTTTAATTATTTTTTCCCAATAATTTATTTTGCTTATTCTCCACGCCTCCAATCGACTGCAAGCTCTCATTCATTTTTGAATGCAACGTCCACATCTTTAAATTAATAACCAATGAATAGAACCAAATCTTGCTTAAATTTTCTCTTCTTGATTAAATGCTGCACTCAGATGTACGTCACAAAACAGATCTGTAAATCTGTCCCTACTTTCATCGCCACTTTAAAGGTATTCTCAGAAGTACCTTTTTTACACGTTTCATCAGTTTATTTTTTCATCAAAGCAAATTTAATTTGTGAAAAATCCAAATATTGCAAAAACAGCGTTTGTATGTGTCTAAGAGAACAAAAGCGTCACTTTCAGGGGGAAAATTAGAGCAAAGCAGAAACATGCAATAAAAATGCAATAAATGTAATAAATTAAGATATAGAGCGTGCAGACGAAGTGTTCTTACAAACTTCATGTTTCTGGATTCTTGCAACTGCCTTATCTGTGGGAGCAACAGCGCATCAGACAGTTCTTTGAGGTAACAGTATTCATCTAAGCAAATTATTTAGTCACATGACTTTTTAAGGCATAAAAAGTCATATCAGTTTTTGATGCACATTCTGTTTTCTTACGGAACAAATAACATATCCACCTCAAGCGAGCATATGTAGAAGCACATTTTGGCCTTTCAGTCTATAATTTTCTATGTAATATTCAATCAGAAGCCAATCAGAAACTGCTAGTGAGTCACTTCGGGTTTACTAAAATGGTGGATGGTTAAAGTTAGCAAAATGGCTAAAGTTAGCTAAATGGTTAAATTGCTTATAGCGGCTTTAAAGATTTTTCTTTGATATACTACTGTGTAAAACTTTGAAGCAATACATTATGACAGTACTAAAGTTTCGATGCTCGGAGAGTGCTTGAGCAGCTAACTGTTGCTGTGGTTACATTGTTACGGTTAAGCAACCTTTGAAGCCAGTGAAAATACGTGTCCCGACCAACTTGTGATCTAACATTTGCACAGTTACTTAAATGTCTGCAAAAGCTAAATAAATTTCTCATATAAGAGATGCCTTATATAATACGCTACACTAAAACGGTGTAGTATTTGTTCTTTCAAACCACATAAAAACATTTTGTTTTAAGTAATTCATCCCCCACCAAAAGGACAGGAGAGTGTACATTTTAAAAAGACTGTAAGAGAATGTACAAAGCAGAAGAAAACCAGGCGCTCTCTCAAGAGACACTATGAGAGACTCTCCTTTCAAAACACTTCATCATCCTCTGACTACAGCCTGTAAATATACTCGCTGCTAGACAATAAACGACAATCAGACCTCAGCTGACGTTTAAACTCAGACATGCGCTTCTTTATCCCACACACACGCATACAAACAAACGCATGGGGTGTCTCGCACACTGCCATGCACCGTGAGTCCTTTCAAATCCAATCACACAGCAAAGAGAGGCAGGCAGACCACGGTTAGCACGGTAACCTCAGGCAGACACCCACTCATGAATATGGATGCCAATCTGAGTTTTAATCAACTGGAGCCATCGAATGGGTGGTACCACTTTTGCATTTTTAGTGGCAGGTAGACAGTAAAACGGAAGATGAGAGGAGAGATTAAACAGAAGGATACATGTGAGAAGATGAGTGAAAGTAAGTAAGTGAGAATATACGACAAAGATAAGATGGAACTGAACAAATTATTTGTTTATTAGCCCCCAAGCTCCATGTGATCCCAAAACATCCATTCGAGAGAAAGGACATTTGAAATACAAGTCCAATCCAATGATGGAGTGCTCAGGCACACCGAAATGCATCTTCAAGAAGATCCGGCCTCCTAAATTCAATCTTTTTATCCTTGTAAACCTAAACCGTCATCCAAATAAACCCACAATTTGGATACGGTGCTTTTTTCCTCAATTAAATCACCGTTGAAAATATTCAATACATTCAGTCTTTTCTCTCTCTCACTCCCTTAAGCCCACTGGCTGTCCTCTTTTGGTACTCACAGGGTGAAGTTCTCCTCTGGGTAACAGCGATTTCTTAATAGTCCAGCCCATAGCTGCACGCCAATTATGCCAAAAATGAAGAAGACAAAGAAACAGAGCAGAAGCACATTTCCCAGCATGGGCAGAGTGTCCAGCAGTAGGTTCACCAGGATACGCATACCTACACAAACACAAGAACACAGAAAAACTATTATTATTATAACAAAGAATGACATGCACTGAGATATTCATTATTCAAGAAAAAGTTTGTCATATCCTTTCATAAAATGTAATAACTTTTTTCCACCTCTGACACAACTTTTTATTAAGCAAAACTTCCATTCATTTCAATCTCAATGCATACAATCAATGTAATTCTCACTGATTAGTCATAAACTTAAGTTAGATATAGCCATTCTTAGGTTGTTTTTAGGTCATCCAGTCATTTATTCTTCATTTTATTTGTACATAGCAATTTGTGTCACTGTGACCGTCTCCCAGTGGCAACTCTTGAGAGCCTGTCATCATAAAACTTGTGTGTTTACTTCCACACCAGTGGGATTGTTTGTGAGTGAGAGTGAGAGAGTTTGTGTTACCCTTACCAAAAAGTAGTATACTTCAAGTTTATTTTAGCAAGTATACTTAAGTAAAGTTCAAGTATACTTTATGAAGTAAGTATACAAATATCAGTGTACTAGTAGTGTACTTGTAAGTGTACTATTTGTACTATACTCCTTGGGACTAAATTGGCCCACTTTCTAGTATATAAAAGTATACTTTTAAGTATACTTTAAGTATAACAGTAGTAAACTTTGAGTACATAACTAGTTTACATCAAAATGTTTAGTTTGTACTGCAACTATACTAAAAGTGAACTTATAGGTATACTGATAGTTTACTAATTAAATACTTGTAGTAGCATTTTTAGTACACTTTGAAGTATTGTCTCAGTAAAGTACTAGTTTAGTAGTTTTATACTGCAAGTATACTCGTAAGTTTTCTTTTAGTGAACTTTACATCATACTTTAAGTATACTACTATGTCCCTATTTAGATTGTGGATAAGTTTCATAAATAAACAAATAAACAACATTTTGAACAAAAAGCTGAAAAATGAATTGGATTCAGAATGATAATCAAAACGTAGATAAAGTCGATCAACACCCCAAAGCTTGACATTTATTATTACCTCTTCATTGGTCAACATTTTATTCCATAACGTTACACAGTTTTGATGCTGTTTTATGTCTAATGATTGTGTTAGATTACATGTGGAAGCATCTGTTGTTTCGGTTTCTTCTTCACTTGTGCTTTTTGGAAATTCTGTACAGAACATGTGTACTAGCACCCCCTACCGTATAACAATGAAAACACGGATTCTAGGAGCACAATTATAGCTAAAATATATTTAGACTTTTTCTAAGTCAAGCATACTTAAATGTCATTTTAAGTATATTTCTGAGAAGTACATAAAAAGTTGACTAAAATTATACTTTCCTATTTTTAGTTTAAAAGAAGTATACTAATAGCACACTTGAATAAACTTCTTTTTCGTAAGGGTAGTGAAGCACTGCTGGGTTTGAATGAAGGGTGTGTGTCCGTTCTGATTGGAGAACAACAGCATGTGATTACTGCAGTGTTTGTGGTTTGGGGAAACACAACGGGGAACTAACACAACGCTGATGGAACACATTAACACACTGAGTCATGTGTGGTAACACACAAATATTAAAAACGTCATGTGGACAGGTGAAGCGACTGGTGCTGTGAATATCTGGACCTCTGGAATGAAAGCAGAGTTGTGTCTTGGGCAATTTACAGAGAAATTAAAGGAATCTCAAGAGAGAAGAGAATGATTTAAAACATCTAACACAAAGGTCAAATGAGATCTTAGTTTCCAAGGGGGATGTTCTTTTTTTCTAGATCTCACAGCATCATTTTCCATGTCTTTATCAAGACAGAAACCTCTCTCTTTATCTCTTTATCGTTCTCTCTCAATTTTACAAAGTTCCCCAAATGTGAAAATTCTGCCATTATTTACCTAATTTACTAAAATTTTAACAGATTTTTTTTCTTTTATGTACAGCCTTTCAGTGAGGTAATTTATCAATGTACCCACACGTTTCGACCAATGAATTTCAGTGTCTTTTTCTGGCCTTTAATGATTACTTGATAAAGATTTTGAGGCTGCTTGACAAAGAACAATTTCTTGGCAATGAAATATTTTCATATTATTTTAACAGTATTTTCATAAATATGAAAAGGTACATTGCTGTTCAAAAGTTTGGGCTCAGTATTTAATTATTTATTTATTTATTTTTAAATGGCCACATTTATTTGATCAGTAATATCATGACATACTTAAACAATTTAAAATTTATTTTCTTTTATTAATATTATCAGTGTATCAGCTAAATATTTTCTGTCAAAACTGTGATTCTTTTTTGTTCAGGATTCTTTGATGAATAGAAAGATTTAAAAAATGAAATGTGAACTAATCTGAAATTGGAACTGTAGTGTGTAATCACTTTAGAAATTTCCATGATTTTCTTGGCACTGGATTTTTACAATTCCCTGAAATTACAAGGTTTTTGGTAACTATGGGAACCATGTAACATGTCTACAGTGCTCTTTTCCAACAAAAGTAGATGGTGATTTTGCAAACATTTAGCTAAATATCCATTTGCCTATTCCACAGGAGAAAAAAAACTACAGGTCTGGAATGACATTAGAATGAGTAAATGATGACTGCATGTTTATTTTTAGTGAACTATCCCTTTAATAAAATCTTGCATAAAACCTTGCTACAATTTGACATGCTACATACACAGTTAACTGGATGTTAATTTGATTCTGTATGCCTAAATGTATGAGGGAGAGAGTGTAACAGTGTGTATGCATTGGGTTTGTGTGCGTCTTCGAAATCAGTAACACACAAAAAAACATTTCCTGAAACTCTCTGCTTGTTATCTCTTCATCGAGACTTCGAGCAGCGAAATCAAATGCAAGCTAATTCAGTTAGCATTCATCTTTCATGCGCTACACCATTGCCATGGGCACTGAAATATTGATAAATCCTGGGCTTCTTATAGAAGTTCGAAGAAAGGCCACAATGTTTGGGAGGGGTGTGAACGTGAGACAGAAGAATATTAATTATGGCGTTTGTTCAAGGACAACTGTTTTTCTACCCAATTACAGCATGGATTAATCTGGCTCTGCTAACGGTGGGGCAGAAAAGCAATGGCTCTGAAATCCTCTTTGATTCATTCCAGCTTTGCTGTTCTGGAAGAACTGCACACCAAATACAAAGCTACACATGCACGCTACCGTGGGTTTGATAGGGCAGGGCTTGGAGCCGACACATGAGGGTGCTTTAGAGGCTTGGCATTAACAACCAGAAAAATCCATTCACAATGAATCAGCATGTATAACACATGAGGTTTGCAGGTCACAGATTTTTTTTGGGAAAATGTGTGTGTGTGTGTGTTTACTCACTGGGTACTCTGTTGATGGCTTTGAGAGGTCTGAGTACACGCACTGTTCTGATGGCGGAGAAATTGATGTTCTGGAGATCAAGGGAGTATTCAACAATCCTGAGAAGAAGAAACAAACAGAGAACATTAGTGTCACAGTCACTGGGTATAGCCAAACTCGGAGTGTTGTTTCTGTAGTTGAGACCAGCTCATTAAAGCAGAGACAAGTCAGAGACCAGAAGAGGGCAGAGTTCGAGTCAAGACTGAGTCCACATGTTCTCGAGTCCATAAGACCAAGACTATTAAATGTAGTCTTGGACTCGGACTCGACTCAAACGTGACCGTCTTCTGAACTTGGTCTTAACTCTGCCTTAAATGAACAGATCTCGACTACAACGCTGGTTTCTGCCACTTATTTCATTACTTACAATGGTCTATAATTTTGTGGTATTTTATTTTTGTGTTAGGCATTTCTTATGCCAAAAACATTCTAATCATGATTTCCATTTCTATCCTCTTTTCAACTACCTTGTAGTTAATTGCTTAATCCAGTCAAAGGTGGTTTGTCGGTCTCTCCCGTCCCACCTAATGCTGGTGTGATGTATCCCAATCAATATCTCACCGTGTATTTGCATTTAGGTCAGAGAAGAACTGGTCCCCCGACTGAGCCTGGTTTCTTGAATCAAATTTGTTCTTAATTCGTGAATTTTGCAGCATCGACAGTTATTGAACTGAACTGACTGGAGCTGAATAATGACATTAATGTTTTGTTATAGCAGAATTTGTTTAATTTTGTAAAGTTTGCATCATTGATTGTTAACTGTTCATTACTGTGAAGCTAGTTTGAAACAAAATCTTATTTAGTTTAAAAAAAAATGTTATCTCATACATTTTTGGACATAAATCCAAAACTGCATATACAATTTTGGGTGAAACAAATACTTTTATTCAACAAGGATGCATTAAATTAATCAAAAGTGACTGTAACATTTGTAACATTTAGAACAGGGGTCTCCAGACTCGGTCCTGGAGGGCCGGTGTCATGCAGAGTTCAGCTCCAACCCAAATCAAACACACCTGAAGCAGCTGATCAAGGTCTTACTAGGCATACTAGAAACTTCCGGGCAGGTGTGTTGAGGCAAGTTGGAGCTAAACTCTGCAGGACACCGGCCCTCCAGGATCAAGTTTGGAGACCCCTAATTTAGAATGTTATTTGTATTTCACATAAAAAAAATTTTTTCAAATAAATGCTGTTCTTTTTAACTTTCTATTCAAAGAATCTTGAAAAAATGTATCATGGTTTCCACAAAAATATTAAGTAGCACAACTGTTTTTAACATTAATAATAATAAGAAATATTTCTTAAAGGGGTGGTTCATTGCGATTTCACTTTTTTAACGTTAGTTAGTGTGTTATGTTGCTGTTTGAGCATAAAAAATATCTGCAAAGTTACGAAGCTGAAAGTTCAATGCAAACGGAGATATTGTCTTTTAAAATTCTGGCAGTTTAATGCCAACAAAAACGGCTGGTAGGGACTACAAGAAGTTACTTCCCGGGTTCGTGACGTAACAAACCCAGATAAACCCCGCACTCGGGAAATGGCAACAAAGGGAGCGAGGCCATGCTGCGCTGCTTTAGAGAAGAGGAGGAGAACTCTTCTAACGATTCTAATGGATTCACAAGTTTCAAAATCAATGTTCTAAAGCAGCGGTTCTTAATACTGTTCCTCGCATCGCCTGCTCTGCACACACTCTGCATCTCTCTCTCTCTCTCTCTTTCTCTCTCTCTCATTCAGCTCAGCTCCAACAATGAACTGTTACAATTATACTCTACGTTTCACATAGCTATGAGAAGCGTTAAACATGGACGCGCGTGCAGTTGCCGTACTGTATTAAAGCTTTAATCAGGATAAAACTGTATATTAAAAGCTAACATAAGCAGTAGCATTTACAAATAACAGCGTATCTAAAAGTATGAGACAACAACAAACAAAAAACATAGGCCTACCATTAAAATCCGTGCTTGCACAGGTTCTGCACGATCCTCTTCAATAATATCCTCTGCTTCTCAATCGGGCTCAAACTGATAAGCGATATTAACGACGCCGTTGTTTACAATACAACCGGAGCACATGCCGCTGAGGTGAGGGGCGGGACGATTAGACGCACACTAAAGACGGTTGAGCCAATCACAACACACTGGGCTAGCTAAACAATCAGGGCCCATCGCCTATTTCTGAGGGAGGGGCTTCATAAAAGAAGGAAATGATCAGCACGTTTCTCAGAGAAGGGACAGAGCGGTGTGGAATAAAGGTAAATGATGTGAAAAATAAAAAACGAAGCATTAACACATGTTAGACTGCACCCCATAAACACAATCAAGCCTAGAAAAAAAACAGTGGACCACCACTTTAAGAAACAAATCAGCATATTAGAATGATTTCTGAAGGATCATGTGGCACTGAAGACTTGAGTAATGATGCTGAAAATTCAAAATTCCATCACAGGAATAAATTACATTTTAAAATATATTCAAACATAAAACGGTTATAACAGAAAACATTATTACAGTACATTGTCATAATACTTCACAATTACGTTTTTTTCTGTATTTTTAATCAAATAAATGCAAAATTGGTGAGCATAAGATACTCATTTCAAAAACATAAAAAAAATAAAAAATAATGTATGTCAGCATGTCAACTCATCCCATATATTTTGTTTTGTCCTGTGACTCATCAGTAATCTAAAGGAGTTTGGTCTTGCTTCCATCCTCAGGACCAGGTAACATCCATTGTAAGTGAGTAGCAGTTTAAAACAGACCGGCCCTACACACCACAAACAGAAACCTTCATTTATCACTCTGACAGACACACACACAGGAAGAGAACAGACCATTCTAATGCAACTCAACCCAAAGCACAATGCTGTTCATCTTGATCTGACCATGTGCACTATGTCAGGAACTGAAGCGGTGGGGGTTCATCTCTCTCGTCTGTGTGAGAGCAGTTCTGTTTGGGATAGTTACCGACTGCTCTCTGCATCAAATGGTCCTGTGGGACCATGTGTTTGAAAATAGAGGCCAGAGGGTTTCTTTTCCCAGACAGAACCAGACATTATCTGCTGTTGATCTCCCCTTTAATCTGCATGGCTCATCACAGCGAACAAATCTAGATGCTGTTGTACTACCACAAGCAGATACACACATCCACACCCACACACACAGCCACTTTATTCTTGCCACCCGAGCGAGGGCCATCTTAAAACAGACACACTTCCCGTGATATCACAAATCTCGTCAGCCACCCTTTGACCTCTGTCTCCATGAGATGTTTTTCAATGGGAGGCATCTGCGGTGAGAGCTGAGTCACAGAACGAGACGAATGAGTCACAACGGCCACTGAGAATGCAATGACAGCGTCTCATAGCAGCAGCACGGGGAGTCACGCATTCAACATGTCTACATAACCGCACAGCGAGAAATACTCCACAGCTCTCCAGAGCCACTCTGCTGCCAAAACCCTGCCCACATACACACAATTAAACCGTTTAGTAGCGTTTAATTTAACGAGAATGATCGGTAGGCCCAAATGGATTCTGCAATGCTGTTTCCGTGCTGATTTTGCAATGCAGATTTAAATAGGTGGTCATGTGATTGGACAGTTTAAACTAAGATGCCTTTCTTTGATTGGATAGGGGAAATACTGCTAATGTCATTAATTACAAAATTACTGATAAAAATGTTTGTTAAAGAGTTTTTATTTCATTACAATAACAAATACTGCTGAAAAAAGAACAAAAATAACACCACATGACATTAACAAATGAACTTGTTTTTGAAGAGAAAAAAAATCTAGAAAGAATATGATTGTTTCAAATAATCCAATTATGTCAGGAATTTGAGGATTGATATTGTTGAGCTTTGTGCGTTGAAGCTGAACAGTCATGGAACACCGGTAGATTGAACCCCCTTATTAGTGGGTTAATTAACTCACCCAAATCATAAGATTAATCAGATATATACAGAACAGAAATATAATTTTACAACTTCTGCACGAAATGATGCAAATGCACAAGAGAACTTTAACTACAGTAAGTTCTGCGCTGGTCAGAATGTGCACGTCACATTGAGAGTATGCTCTACATGGAAAATAAATTATAGCACACCGATTCACAGGATTACATTATTGCACTCAATATATTTTTTAGGAGCTCAGGTTTATACAACAAGGGTTTTAAAATGTTTTATTTATTTATTTATTTTTGAAAGACAGATTGAAAGATTAATTAACACGACTTGACAAAATATTGACTATTGTTTAAAGGACCAAAACAAAAAACAACTGTAAAAATTAACACTGCGGTGAAATACAGACTTTTGAATAGTGTACAACCCATCGGCGAGTAAAAACAAAGAGCTAATTAAAATATTCAGTGGAGACAAAACATCTGGTTGCAAGCAGTGCATTTCGACAGGCAGGTGTGGACATGCTGTGCCTTGATTAGAAAAGTAACCAATCATTATGACTGTACCAATGAGACTGGATGTTAATAAAAGTTGTACAAAGGGCTTATGGGATATTCGTCACCCCCAGCGGCGTGGATTTTACTAAACTTGTTCAACTTTATTTAACTAAACTTGGCTTAAGGGAAAATAGTTAGTAATTCTGAGCTGGAAATGGGCCAGAAAGCAAGAGTGCGAGTGAAAGAGGACGAGGGCATGGACTGTGTTCCTTCGTAGTACTAACACACAAGAATGATCGACTACAGTGTTGCTGTAGAGCTTGACAATCCCATTATGTCAATTACTGTCTGACTGACAGCGGTGTCAGCACTCGAAAAGTAGTGGGATGCTTCCACACAAGCATCACAGTGGCTGCTTGTGTGGCTCACGCATGTGTGTGGCTCAGGCAGTGACAGACACACTCCCTAACAGTAATAATTTCCAGGGCATAATGTTTCATAATACCCATGCAAATCCTCATAAAAACAGGCAGAAGTTTTCTCTTAACAAATAGAACATATACACCATGTCATGCATGATGAGGCAAGGTTCCAAGCAATGTTTTTTGTCTGCAGTGAAACTAAAAATGCTGCGTGATACAAGAAAATCACAGCCAA